GACATGTTCTCTGCCCTGGGTATTGCGTAGGACAGGGATAGACGAGCTGCGGCCAGAGCCTGCAGCTTGCTTCAGGAGTGACCACCATTGCTTGTTTCGCATTGATCCATGTTTGAGCCGATCTCGGATGCGGGCAGATTCTGCCTGCTTTGCGAAACGAAGGCAATTGGCAGAGGCTCGGACTTTGGCATTGTAGTCAATGAGTTGCTGGTGGCAGGTGGGGTGTCTCCTGAGACGGTTCCATGCATTCTTCTTTGCCTGGGTAGCGGCTGAGCATTCCGGCGTCCACCAGGATGGATCTGTTGGTTTCGTCGAAAGTTCTTTGTGTGGGATGAAGCGATTCATGCCTTCCATGACAGCAGCGGTTACTGATCTGCAGGACGCCTCGGGGTCTTCTGATATATCCCAGTTTGCTGTTGAGTAGAAGTGCCGAAGCCGGCCCCAGTCTGCCTGAGCATACCTCCAAACGCGCCGTTTAGTCGGTGGTTCGCGGAGTGGGGTGGCATCAAAAGTGGCCACAACGGTGGCATGGTCTGATGCTCCAATAAGGTCCAGTATATTTACCATCACTGAGGTCTCCGAGAAGTACTTGAGTGTGAAGTCCAGGGTGTTCTCACCACGTGTTGGTTGAGTAACGTGCTGGTGGAGCCCGTGAAACGCAGAGAGTTTTTCCATGTATTCACCAGCTGGTGTAGTCTTCGTGCTGCATATCCAGCTTTCATTATGAACATTTAAATCTCCGGCTATCACAACGCTGTTCCCGAGGGATTGAGCTTGATCCATGACTGAGTCAAGATACTCAAGCAGAGAAAGATCTTGTTCAGGGCACGACCCGGGTCGGTACATTGCACATGCAACTACTTTCTGGCCATTGACCAGGTGCAGGCAAAGCCAGATGACCTCATGGCCATGGTAGTTGATGTCACTCAGATGGTCAAAGGAGAGGGATTCCCGGACCCAGACTGCAACTCCGCCACCTTGAGCAGATCGGTCAAGTCGGAGGGGTGGGTGGAAGCCCGGCATGGAGGAGTCAGATAGTGAGGCTTTCTTCGGGGTGAATTTAGTCTCTGTTACGATGGCGATGTCAGATCTGCTCCGTTCAACAGCATGCTGGAAGGCTCCAAACTTTGACAGCAGCCCAAAAGCATTTGTCAGCAGGAGCTTCATTACCGGGTATGTCCTTGCGCAGCTGGTTTTCATTGGTGTTTGTGTGGCTGAATCGCTCCAGCTGAGGCAGCCTCTTCCTCACTGTCCCTATCGCCTCTGCTGCCCACATTCCCGGCGCCAGATGAGCTGTCACACTGCGGCCGTTTGTGGTGTCACCAGGCTCGAGCGTAAAGCGGTCGTGGCCAGAAGTTCGCAGCAGTGACGGAGACTTTCCCGTCTTCCGTGGACCTTGACGGATTTGGCCACGGCCACAGATCGCTGCTGAGTGAACTCTGTCACTCGCTCCTCTGTGCAATATGCAAATTATGTTTTGTCTTCAAACCAGGCTTGTATTCAAAACAGGCTTCCTAACGAGACAGGCTTTAATTAGTGTGCTGGCGTTCTGCAGTGTCTGCTTTGTGCTGACCAGCAAGTGAAATCCAGGCACTCCGTACAATCCCGTGCAGCTAGCTGCCCAGCGAGGAAAGTCTCGAGTGGGGGCCTCTCGATCTGCTCCCTCATTCGCCTGGCATTCAGTAGCATGTCATCGCCAAGGACTTCAATTCAAAACAGTTTTCACACGGCGCTTCAAGCCTTTTTCTTCGTGAACTTGCTGCGAACGCATGAGCTCTGCTACACATGTTCCCTTTGCGTGAGGCCCAGAAACAGCTAGTATCTCCGTACTTCGATAAGATGGATCGACGTCGTCCAGGTTCTCCTCACTATCGCCATCACGGCTCTAACCAGACACGATTTCTTCACCATATTCCGCAGCAGCAGCAGCTAGCGCAGAAATTTCGCCGTCCCTGAGTGCAGGAGAGATTGAATCGGGTTTGATCAGCTCAAAACCTCTTCGTCGTGACTAGAAGAGTAGCAGGAAATATTCTACCGGAACCCCTTTGACTTCCCTGACTGCTGAAACCCTTCCTGCCATGACTGCTACTTCTTCACACAATCGATATTCTCTTTGGTTCCACTTCACTGCACTCGCGCAGCCACACAACCTTTTTGCAAAACATAATTTTTTTCTGCTAAAAATTATTTCCACCCTTAACCTCTTTTTCGCAGAAGTTGGGCCATATGACGATAGTGTAGATTTAATAATAATACAAGAAAGACGAAGCAAACTCTAAGAGCACCAAAGAAAAACTGTACCATGAACAAGAAAGTCACCAAGACAAGGCTACCTCTTGCCCAGAGGAACAGTCCCGAAAAGGTGCTAGGAAACCAGAAAAGGATACAAGAAAATAAACAAGTGCAAAATTCCATACTGCACCGTACGCGTATATGGTGCGTGAGAACCCCGCACGGGATCAGCGGAAATGTTTGCAGAGAGGTCCAGGACATGCATTGCCAAAAAGAGAAGTGTGAAGAGGTCAAAGTACAAGTGCGATTCCAGTGCAAAACAGCAGATCAAAGAAAACTATCACACGCAAGTCACGCTACACGTATGCATGCGTACCACCACCAGATCCGCGGAGCTAGCGCTAGCAACAATCGCGCGTGATCACATGATCAATGATGACATAATTCAAAAATGGCGCTCCTGCGAATGCACACTTCGGCAGCTGGCACATGGCAAGAAAGAACGAAAGTAATTCAAAAACAGTTCGAACACAACGAAGAAATAAGTTTGAGAGAACAATAAATTTATCAAGTAGAACAATATATGAATCTGCCAGGGGGTGCTTGCACCCAGCACTGGGTGACAGTAAGCGCTGACAGACAAAAGAGAAAGAACTAACGGAAAAAGAGAAATACTACAGCGCTGCGGAACGAAGATCAAACGGCAATTCAGTAAATCGTAACATTCAATTACACTCAACCTGTCACAATCAATACGCTTGCCACTCAAATACTACTCTGACACTGCTCTGAGCACGCAGCGCGGACATGGGACATGGATTTACCACAGAAGTCTGCAGTTTCACAGCAGCAGTCAGCAGATATTGATATGCAGATTGCGTGGTGACCATTTGTCCACGATTAGAATGAACCCAAATGACCCACCAACCAATACACTCGAGAAAAAGACTGCCAAACGGTTCAGTCAGGATTGTATCATGTGGTTTTTAAAAGGCCCTTGGTGTGCGATTTTTAAGATATCAAGAATTCTCGATTACTCAAAATTCGATCGGAGAAAATCATAGTATTCAAACTCGGGATCTCAGTGCCAACTTTCACCCCTACTAGTAACAATCAGATCATCACAACAGTTATAAAAGCGGAGGTGTGTACAAATGCTACCAACCGATGCAGGCGTAGAACCTAACTTGGCATCAACCTTGCATCGTGGCCTGGGAAAGACAAAATGTGGGCCATCAGTTCCAGGCAAGCATATTCTACTGACCAATTTCTTGCCTGGCAGTGAGACATGTATTGGGGTTTTCAACCTTAACCTGGCAAACAGTTTGTCAATTGACTTATCAGAGTAGTGTGTATGTACATGAGAATAACTCATATCGTCGTCCTTTTCGTACTCCACAAATGTATTGCCCAACTCACTATGAAGTCTTCATAGTGAGTTTGGCACTACATTTGTGGAGTACGAAAAGGACGACGGCATATTCTCCAGAGACAACGATGGACAACAGGAACAGTTAGATGGGACAATATTTATTTGGGAGACGAAGAGACAGAGACCAAGACGAACGAAACGACTACATTGTGGCAGAGAGAGACAAGAGCTAGAGATCAAGTGTGAACGGCAAGATAAAGGGCCTGGGTCGGTATGGAGAATATGGGCGCGCAAGTAGCTACCCAGGCCAACAGAAAAAAAGGTGAGAAAAGGAGACAAAAGGTGAGTACGACGTAGTATGGGGTGCATGCAGGCCTGCCTGGAAAAGGTTGTACGGGAGGAGGTACCTAACATACCTCCCCTGCGCAAAGAAAAGAACCCCGACCTCGCGGGAAATAATACGACGACGAGAAAAATAGAAAAAAATGGCTGAGGAAGTAGAGAAAAAAAGCACACACACACACACACACACACACACACACACAGCACCCACACACACACACACACACACACACACACACACACACACAACACACGGGTGTCACAAAAATGTTATACTAATTATATACTACAGTTATGATGTTCCTGTACTCTAAAGTATTTACAAATCACTCATGGTAGCGTAGACATTGCCAACGACGGGCCAAATACCCCTCCACAAAAAAATTGGCAAACATAAAAAACTAAAAGCAAAGAACATTGCCTTCTGATTCGCATAGCTATACAGCATAGTTACTCTTCTGCCAATTAATGCGACATGAATAAAGGAGCGTGGCTCACCATCGGACGCCTAATATTGACGAAGGACACCCGCGCGCGCACTCACACTACAAAAATTGAAAAATAAATTAAACCGAAAATAAATTTGACGACGATGGACAGATGAAAAGAAAGAGAGAAATGAAGAAAATAGCTGACCTGCATGACTTGGACGAGACGAGATTGACATTGAAGAGACCAGGTTGACATGGACGAGACCAGGTTGACATAGGCGAGACGAGTTTTACTGAGGACGAGACGAATGGCGGTTGAGGACGACTGTGCATGGGATCTCATGCTCTACCGACTGAGATATCCGGAAGAGAGAGACAAGAGCTAGAGATCAAGTGTGAACGCGAAGGTAAAGGGCCTGGGTAGCTATGACAAATATAGGCGCACAAGTAGCTACCCAGGCCAACGGAACAAAAGGTGACTGCGACGTAGTATGGGGTGCATGCAGACGAGCTTGGAAAAGGTTGTACGGGAGAAGGTGCCTAACACATTTATATCCAATATAGATACTTTTCTGATGGATAACGCACAGGAATGTCTTGTCATGTGTGTTACCTGTACACAGACCGGTGATCTTCCTGTTCATGACTCTGCCAGGAATGGACATCTGGAAGTAGTCAAGTATCTACTAGACCTCCAACCCGACACGATCTCTGTAAAGTGCAATGTAAGTTGAGCAATCTCTATCCTTCATTCTCCTTAAGAATTTTTTTCCAGAACATGGTTTGAGCAATATATTCGATCACAACAAGTAGCATCTAGTCACTCGCGCCAGGCCAGAGCAACAGAACTTAACCTTACGGATTCCACCATCTGCCAGTAGAGCAGACCATGGCACACCATTCACTCTTGGGTCCATACAATGGCCGTCCCTACATTCTAAAGTGGCGTAAATATATTTCCTGGTGTATGTGTGTTTGTGTGTGTGTGTTTGGGGGGGGGGGGTGCGTGCGTGAGTGCGCGTGTGCATACAGCAAGGATAGGCAACCGTCTTAGCTGTTCTATGCTGATGTCCTTAGCGTTGTGCAGACCACGTGTGCATTGGTGGTCGATTCTCATGGCTTCACAGGTTGTATGGATTAGCCAGTTATCTGGCACTAGTCTTGATCTGTCCCATTCAGATCTTGTCCGCTATCGTTGCTATAAGAGAAAATCTGTGGGTGCACCTCCAGTACATTTCGCAGATTTGCGTGCTTCTCTTGTAACGGGCGTATACATGGTACACGGTGTGTATGCGTGTACATGTGTGTGTGTGTGTGTGTGTGTGTGTGTGTGTGTGTGTGTGTGTAGCGGGGGGGGGGGGGTGTATGTGCATGTTTGTGTGTACATGTATAATTATATTAGGGCTGAAACGATTATACTTGGTCCGCGTCAGCAATATTGTCGCTTATCTTTCAGCTTTGTTATTATGTGGCCAATGCTCACTTGGCAGCCCATTTCATCCCAATTTTGGTTAGTAGGTTAGTTTACTAGTATCTGAAAGGTCTAGCTAGATTTCGAGAGTGACAGGTTCGTGATTCTGATTGGTACAGCGCCGCATCAATAATTATAGATTATCTTGTCACACTGGGCAGGCAAGAGCAGCTCGTCGCACAAGAAAGTAATCGGCTACTCGGAATCAGTTCCATTTGCAAAAAGGCCGAGATCACTCACCTCAGAGATCGCTCGCCAAGCTGACATCGCAGTTCCCTCGCCTCCAGTGCAACACTCGGAGTATCCAGCGAATCGTGGAGATTTGCAAGTACTGTACGAGTCATCGTCGTTCAAAATAAATCTTGCAAAGAACGGCGACTGATTTGAACCACACAGGCAGTCGTGCTGCCGACGCGTAGTCCTATAGAGAAGGCGATCGTCACGGTCGACTTCCCTTTAGAAAATAGTCAGGCAGCGGAGAGGAAGAGAGATGAGCTTGCGAAAAAAAATATTTGTCACCAGCGCCGGGAGCAGCGACAAGGAGGACCAATAACGTATGAACCCTTCCTTGGACAATAAATTCCACTTGGCCAGTTGTCATTCTGTACTTTACCTTCCTTCATACCAAGTTTTATCGTCTCAAGTGCACTTGTTGTCCAAAGTCAAAGTTCAAATTGGACGATGTTTTACCGATACTTGTAGTTTTACTCTCTCTCACGAACTGTATTCCTATCTGTAATTGAAGACTTGTTTTCTTCTGGTTAGTGTGCCATGGTAGAGGATAGACTAATGCACAGCCAGTAATCCCCTTACAGCGTATGGTGCCGAAACCCAGGACCAGTGGAATCCGGTTTGGATCCGCCAAGCCTGATGTTGTCGCGTCTGCTAGCGATGCGCACCCGTCGCCTCATGTCAGCGTGAAGCATGATGGGCATGACGTAATTCTCCAGTCGAAGGATGGCGAAGTGCGCTGGAAAGCGGAGAAAAGGGAGTGGGAGCTTTCCTGGCAGTGAAAATATGGTGTTGCCCCAGCGGCTATGCTTTGATCACAATGCTACCTCCCACACGTCAGCTCAAGCACAGCAGGATCTTCTCGATAGCGGAGTACCCAACATCCTGTTTCAACCTCCCGGACATGAATCCAATTGAGAATCTGTGGGCTCTTCTCAAGAAGAGAATAATTCCACCTCGCTGCGAGAATTCTGACCAGCTTGTGCAGGCACTGCACCTGGAGTGGGACTCGTTGGCTCCTTACACGGTTTCCCCATGCGTGGAGTCACTGCCACGTCGTGTTGAAGCCCTAATCGAAGCAAACGGTGGCCACACGAAATATTGAAGCCCTTCTACTCTGTGTCTGAAATAAACTGTTTCGAAACGATCTCCGTCTTCTTTACTTGTCCTCAACTGAAATGAATGTTACCAAGAGTATATAACCCCCCAAGAGTGTGCAACTCTTGATACCCTTTCTATGGGGTACGCCGACGGCGAAAACTCACATCACGTTATGCAGTGTCTCAGTGGTACGTTTCCAGCCCGTTTTTAGCGAGCAGTGGAGTAATAAAAAAGCACTCTCTGACAGAAACTCACTACGCGTATGCAAATCCCCAGCATGACCATGGCAGATATTCGGATTTCGCACACGCTATCCTTCGTTTGCATGTAGTACGAAGATATCTGAGACACGTGATGTGAGTTTTCGCTGTCGGAGACCACATATGCAGAGGTGCACACTCTTGGGGGGTTATAATCTTGATGTTACTCTTCTCTTTGTTTGGCGCGTTTTTTTACACTTTGGTGTAAGCATGCATGCGTATGAGTACAGCACATGCACAGTTCATGTGGCACACTAGCACTTGTACAACTTTGAGGGCGTCAAGGGCCGCATCATCAATTCAACACCCGTGAACAGGAATGTTTTGGTGTGTGCAGAGATGTCCATAAATGATTCGAAAGAGTTCTTAGTATTGTATACTTGCGGCCATGATATGCCCCTCAACCCACAAGAGGAATATTGCAACATTACTTTGGCTCAAAAAGAATGCAAACTAATCAATCTCGCACCCAGCACTAAAGCATGTATTGGGGTTTTCCAGCTTTAGTTTGTAAACAGTTTGTCAATTGACTTATCACAATGTTGTGCGTGAGACTGCCTCACTTCGTGGTGGATTGTGCACTATACCCTATATAAATACTTTTCTGATGGATAACGCATTAGAATGTCTGGTCATGTGTGCTACCTTTACACAGGGCGGTAGTCTTCCTGTTTATTGCGCTGCCGCAAATGGGCATCTGGAAATCGTCAAGTATCTACTAGATCTCCAACCCGAAACGATCTCTGTGATTGGCTATGTAAGTTAAGCAATCTCCATCATTGACTCTCCTTGCTGTAGTCAGTTACTCCTACAGCACTCTTCTTGCCAATCAAGACTACTGTGCTAGCTATATGTCAATTGCTGGGGAGTATCAGGCCGAAACAGCAACCCCACCGATTGATATACTCCAAAAGTACCTGTGAATATTGGTGACTTTCCTGGCCGGCACTGATAGCTGCACAAAGCACCTCCATTGTGCATTTGGTTCACATAAACATTGGTTATGATTAAGAAAGGAAAAGGACAAAATGTTACGAGTTATGGCAAACTATCCACCAACGTAACCAGATATTATACAGTCAGCGAATGCGACAAAATGGCACAAAACTGACAAGGAGTACTGAGGCATTCGGCGACCTGACACCTAGCTTTTCCATTCTTCATCATAACTATATTGGCTCACCACACCAGTTCAAATAAACATTGGTCTCAATCATTTCTGATGTGACCTCATGGACACACTCATCATCAATTCAACACCCATCAACAGGAGTGTTTCTGTGTGAGCAGAGATGTCCACACATGATTCAAAAGAGTTCTTAGTATTGTATACTTGCGCCCATCATATGCCCCTCAACCCACGAGAGGAATATTACAATATTACTTTGGCTCAAAAAGAATGCAAACTAATCAATCTCGTACCCAGCACTAAAGCATGTATTGGGGTTTTCCAGCACTAGTTTGTAAACCGTTTGTCAATTGACTTATCACAATGTTGTGCGTGAGACTGCCTCACTTTGTAGTGGATTGTGCATTATACCCAATATAAGTACTTTTCTGATAGATAACGTATAGAAATGTCTGGTTATGTGTGTTACCTGTACACAGAACGGTAACCTTCCTGTTCATGGCGCTGCCTTTAAAGGGCATCTGGAACTTGTCAAGTATCTACTAGATCTCCAACCCGATACAATCTCTGCAAAGAACAATGTAAGTTGAGCAATGTCTATCGTTGATACCCCTTAAGCATTTTTTCCAGAACACGGTTTGAGCAATATATGCAACAAATAACATCTAGTCACTCGCGCCAGGCCAGAGCAACAGACATTAACCTTACGGATTCCACCATCGGCCAGTAGAGCAGACCATGGCACACCAATCTCTCTTGGGTTCATACAAGGGCCCTCCCTACATACTAAAGTGATGTAAATATATTTCCTGGTGTATGTGTGTTTGTGTGTGTGTGTGGGGGGGGGGGGGGCGTGCATGCGTGCGTGCGTGAGTGCGTGTGTGCATACAGCAAGGAAAACCAACTGTCTTAGTCGTTCTATGCTGATGTACTTCGTGTTGTGCAGACCACGTGTGCATTGGTGGTCGATTCTCATAACTTCACAGGTTGTATTGACTACAGTCCATTCGGAAAAAGTTGAGCGCTGGCTCTGGAGAGCTCCCGTATTTGGCGATTTTGTGGTACACTGTGCAATGCCGCGATATTCGAAACTTGAAAAAGGGTCCAAAAAAGGTACCTCAACTGGGTTTCGAACCGGAAATGTACTGTTATGCAAGTGGAGTGAACGGCCTGCATTTTCATGGTTTTTCCCCAATTCAGTGCTTTGGGGGCAAAACCTGGCCGAAATCCTTTTCTTGTTATGGCTAACTCTTTGGAAAACTAGACTTCAAAAGCACAATTGGAAGAGAATTCCATGGGGGACTGCCTAAATAAATAAGACGGAAACTTAAAATTTGACCCATTTATGGCCAGAAGCTAGGATATCATTTATTTCTGAATTGACTGTAGGCAGATATCTGGCACTAGTCTTGATCTGTCTCATTCAGATCTTGTCCACTATCGTTGCTATCGTTTGCGTACTTCTTTTGTGACGGGAGTACACATGGTACACGGTGTGTATGTGTTGGGGGAGGGGGAGGGGGAGGGGGAGGGGGTGTATGTGCATGTTTGTGTGTACATGTATATATTAGGGCTGAAACGATTATATCGGTTATCCGTATAATTGATCATAAAGCAGGATTCACAGAAGCATTTTGCGTTGTGACACACGATGCGACGGTTGCAAAACTGGGAAATCCCCAAATCGCAGCCAACTCGCAGCCCATTTAACTGCCGCAACTGGGCCATCGCAGAAGTTGAGCTCGGCTCAACTTTTGCGATGCGACAAACGATTTGGCGTACGATTTTGACCTTTTCTACAGCAAAGTTGTACAAAGATTCAAGAGTTGCCCGAAAATTTGTACAAGTTGTACCCAACCGCGTGAATACCATGGTGGCGTACCTGCCTGCATTGAACTTCGCGCCAAATCAGCAAGGTATCATCGCTTCGGGGACTTCGCCTGTGAATGGTATTTCGTGAGTTCGCATCGCACGTCTCCGTCGCAAATCGCGTCGCATCGCCAATCGCATAGCAAAAAAAGCTTCTTTGAATCCCCCTTACAACGAAGCGACTTCGATTATGCTGTCTATTTCGATAATGCGATTCCAAATAAATAAATACATAAAAGGAATAAAAAACGTGTACAAGAAGATGTCATGCACATGACTGTACTACGTAGTAGTAGGATCAGATAATGTTACGTACATAAGTCACCGGAGGATGTACCCAGTGTGCTGACGGTGCTCAACACCACGAAAACAGAGCGTTTGTTTGCCAGCTAGCTGGCCTCTGCGTACACCGCAGACACACCCACACACAACAGAAAGATACAGATCACAGTAGTAGTGTGGTATTTGTTCACTCACGATGATAGTTGTGTGTAGTAGTGTGGTTTTTGTTCACTCACGGTGGAAGATGGAAGAGCGTAGTGTATAGATGAGCATGAAGAAGGTTAAGGGCATGCCACCTCACGCATATACATGTACACGTATGTACCAGACCAACATGATGCAAGAAGTGAACCACTGTGGCGAATAGGGCCGCCGGATAATTTACCAGCCAGAAGCTGGCGGAAAAAACCTCAGGACCCCGGCGGAGGCACATCCCTGAGGAAAAACCGGTTAGAATAACCCCATAAGATAAACGAACCAAACGTAGCCTGCAGGACCTATCCCGAAGTGAGAATAAACGGGAGGGCGGGTGGTAAACTACAACGAAAAGAGAAAGACCACGATGAAGAGAAAAGTTTGAGAACACTGACAAAAAAAAACAGCTGACGCAATCCTGGTGCCGTAACTATGGTGAAAATGCTGGCTAAAAATACATTTTTCGTTTTATTCGCTACGCTCAGCCAACGAAAAATAACACTTTTTACCAGCTAGCTGGCCTCTGCGTACACCGCAGACACACCCACACTCGGTGTGAAACTTTGTCGAATGCTCCTGCTATGTCTATAGCCAGCACGCGGACTGCGCCACCACGGTTGGCTTCAGAGACCCAGGAGTGGTTGAGAGACGTGAGAAGGTCAGATGTGCTGAGCCCCTGCCGGAATCCGTACTGGTGGATGGACAGGGCCTTTTCATGCTCAAGATGATTGATTATGGCAGTGTTGACAATCTTCTCCATGACTTTGGAGACAACAGATAACAAGGACACAGGTCGGTAGTTCTTAGCAGCAGAATGAGATTGATTATTGTGTATCGGGACCACACGGGCTACTTTCCAGAGCGAGGGCTGGACATGGCACCGAAAACAGAGTGAGAACAGCTTGGAAATTGGTGCAGCCAAAACCTTTGAGCACAGCTTCAGAAATCTGGCAGGAATGCAATCGGGTCCGGTAGCCTTGGTTGGATCCAGCTGGCGGAGCTGGCGCTGGACTGTCGCTTCCCGAAATCGGACAGTTGTCAGGGCAGATGTACACCTAGGACGAAGGTCAGGAAGGTCGGAGTGCTGTAGATCTTGATCACACAGACTGCATTTGCTCGCAAAGAATTCTCCAAAGCAAGTAGCCTTTTCCTGGTTGGTGACATATTCTCTGCCCTGGGTATTGCGTAGGACAGGGATAGACGAGCTGCGGCCAGAGCCTGGAGCTTGCTTCAGGAGTGACCACCATTGCTTGTTTCGCATTGATCCATGTTTGAGCCGATCTCGGATGTGGGCAGATTCTGCCACACGCTTTCCACATTGGAGGCGAGCGACACGCATGAACGCCCAAACTTTAGCATGACACGTTGAGTGCCCACAACGCATGCCGCCCACGTTGAGCGTCGCGCATGAATGAATGTCGCGTTGAGTGACACGTTGTATGACACATAGAATGCCACGACGCATAGAGTACCATGTGAGCATGCACCAAGGCGTGTGACCAACATGGATACCGTGATGTACAGCGCACGTGACTGTAGCCAGCAGCAAAGCATGAGCATGCAGTAAAGCACCAGCAATCATAGCAGCATAGTTTGAGTGGTAGCACGAAGCAGCCGCGTGCACCCATTAATCTGCATTATTACTATAATGCTACATTAACTACAACACACAGCAGCTTGCGGTTAGGAGGGTGCTGGCCAGCGAAGTGAGAGGCTACAGAGAGAGCAGGATCTTGGTGGAGCCAAGAGGATAGTCACGTCCGAGGGACGAAGAACGAGAGCCCTGAGTAGCCGGAAATGAGCATGGCCCATTGTGGCCAGCAAGCCTCGTACCGAAGCAGCCGTGAGCAGGGTTAAAGTCATAGACACTGCCGGAGCAGGATCTTGGCGGAGCCAAGAGAGAGGTCAGAGAGAGGTCACTGCCGGAGCAGGATCTTGGTGGAGCCAAGACAGGGATCACTGCCGGAGCAGGATCTTGGTGGGGTAACCATCACCTACAGTGGGCTACGGTGGGCCATCGGGTAGTTGAGATGGTGGTGGAGCTGAACGTGTCCGTCTTGGAATTGCCGGTGGCACATGCACGTTGCCCCGCTGTAGCCACTGTCACATTAGCAGCCTTGCTAGCGTTCGGCCTTCGACTGCTTAAGTGTGGCAATGATTCATGTCTCGTTGATATGGAGACGAGGCAAGGAAATAGAAAGGTAGATAGACACAGAAACAGACAGGCAGGCAGACAAACACAAACAGACAGATGATTCAGGGTCAGCCGGGTAGACACTGCCGAAGCAGAATGTTGGCGGAGCCAAGTATCTACAAGAGTCTGCGTCCGAGGGACGGCGACCGAGGGCCCTGAGTAAAGAGAGGGGTCACTGCCGGAGCAGGATCTTGGCAGGGCCAAGAGAGAGGTCAGACAAGAGATATACGTAGACACTGCCGGAGCAGAATGTTGGCGGAGCCAAGTATCTACGAGAGAGGATTCAGGGTCGGCCGGGTAGACACTGCCGAAGCAGAATGTTGGCGGAGCCAAGTATCTACAAGAGTCTGCGTCCGAGGGACGGCGACCGAGGGCCCTGAGTAAAAAGAGGGGTCACTGCCGGAGCAAGATCTTGGCAGGGCCAAGAGAGAGAGGTCAGAGAAGGGTCACTGCCGGAGCAGGATCTTGGCGAAGCCAAGACAGGGGTCACTGCCGGAGCAGGATCTTGACAGGGCCAAGAGAGAGATCAGAGAGGGGTAACTGCCGGAGCAGGATCTTGGCGGAGCCAAGGGAGGAGTCAGAGAGGGGGCACTGCAGAGAGAGATCTTGGCCGAGCCAAGAGAGGGACGAGGACAAAAAGCCCCCCTGGGTAGCTAGGCAATAAATGTGTGTGCATTGAGACAGCATGTGGTAAAGAGGATACTGACAAGAGTTCAAGCAACACGGATGAGAACCAGCAAGACAGTTACCTTGATGATCTCCTTGGCGGTGTCCCTCATTCCACGCCAGATAAATGCTCGTGCAGCAAAGGGAGCTTGCCCAAATAGAAGGACGAACTTTGCTGCGGTGATTGGCTAGACCATGGTGTCAGGTCGCTCCGCAGCTGTGGGAGCAAAGGTTCTGGAGTCATCCAACTTGGTCCAGGCAGAGCATTGATGGCATTGAAGTTGACTGGCAGGTGTGATGCTCGAAACAGTAAATGGTACTGGACACAAATCAAGTAGAGGGTGCAGATGAGTGCCATGACCACAGAAGAACTGAACGGCTTGTGCCAACCTTCCATATGTTGATAGAGTATGGTGCCACCAGCTCAGGGTCGTCCTTGACTGAGGTTGAGAGGTGCAGCATTATGTGAGATGATCTGAGATGTGGCCTTGACAAGGTCAGACAGGCAGGGCATAATAACGTACGGGTGGGTAGCGAATGTGAGTTGGCCTAGAAGGCAGTTCGTGCTTGAGGACGCAACGCCTGTCAGTGTGGCAGAGACTAAATGACGTAGGGCCAGAGAGGTTGAGGTTTTGGAAAACTACATAAATGGTTGGACAAGTGTGGCCCAAGCAAATCTGCTGTTGGACTGAACACTTGAATACTTGTCAATTGCTGGTTGTACACACTGGTTGGGATGGCAGTGTGAACTGCAATAGTGCTAACCCCCGTACTAACTGGAGGAGACTGCAACAGCATGGGCATAGGCCAGCCTGTTAGCACGTGGGTGGTGCACCTCAAAAGTGACAGGCACTAGCAGTGATTGATTGATGCACTGTGGATGTGTGTGTGTGTGTGTGGGAGTTCCTTATCCTAACAATGACAAGTAGACCAAGTAATAGTAGTACTTGATGGATTGATGACAGGGCTGTGCCTGGGTGCAGATGAAGAACTGGATGCTGCTGTTCAAAGCAAGCTACAAGTATGTACACAGTACTAGTAACTTGGTGTGGAGTTGCATAGCCTGAGGTTGCAGAACTTACTTTGAAGAAGAAAGATAGACTATCGCTGGCAAACAGCTTCCTTCTGGCAATGCTAGGGCCAGGGCGTTGTAATCTCTCGGCCAGCACAATGCCTAGCCCAGACGACTGCATGGGGCTAAACGGTTGTGTGTTAAATGGACCAGCTGTCATACTGTCCTCGCAGCAGCGTTGGAGACAGTCAGAAATATATCAGCTGCCACAGACTTGGCTCAATGATGTCCCACTTCAGTGATGGGTCGGCAGCAGCCTTGATGCGGAATTGATAGGACAGCAACTCCACTGTCCTGTGCGAAGCAATGTCGACCATGATCTGGACCAAGACGGTGGAGGCCTCAACCCACGTCGCAAGTTTATGAACATGCCTACTCTTGCTGCGAGTAGCGCTGTCTTCCACCACCCGCAATGGGTTCCCAACTGACATTTAAAATCTAAGCACATTCTGTGTGCGAGCGGGCGGCACAGAGCAAGACACAGTGGGCAGGAGCCCACTCAACTCGACGGACTGACCTGTCACGACCCGCTCACGAACTTTAGTGCCCAGGTGTACAGCTACAGCGAAAGACTTGCTGCTCCCTAGGCTGGCTGGGTGAGGGCCCTGGTGCGGATGAGGTTGTGAATCCACGGCCGCCAGACTTGTAGGTAACGTCTCTGAAACTTTCGAAGCAATCGTGGAGCGCAAGGTCTCCGGAGTTAAAGCTGACGTTGATGACGCAGACGTCGCCAATGATTCGCGTTCTCTGCTGCCTGCTCCGCTCACCCCGCTCGGGGTAGAATGGCAGGATTCAGCGTGGTGAAGTACACTGAAACAGGCGGTCGGCGAGGGCAGCTTTCCTGCCCGAATTATTCAAACCGAAGAGCGAGAGTTCGCTGCGGAGACGCATAACCGTCATGGCGCGAATTTCACAGACAGTGAAGGCAGCCATGGCTCACGACAACAAGGATGAGAACGAGGCAAAGCACAAGGATGAGAACGAGCAAAATACACACTGTGAAACACTGGCACAGGCGATTGGCGAGGGCAACATTCCTGCCCGAATTAATCAAACCCAAGAGCGAGAGTTCCTTGTGGAGACGCAGAACCATCATGGCGCGAATTTCACAGACAGTGAAGGCAGCCATGGCTCACGACAACAAGGATGAGAACGAGGCAAAGCACAAGGATGAGAACGAGCAAAATACAAACTGTGAAACACTGAAACAGGCGATCGGCGAGGGCAGCTTTCCTGCCCGAATTATTCAAACCCAAGAGCGAGAGTTCCTTACCGAGACGCAGAACCGGCATGGCGCAAATTTCACAGACTGTGAAGCCAGCCATGGCTCACGACAACAAGGATGAGGAAACACAATGATCTGACAAGAAAAAGATCCACACACAGAACGGATCGAAATACGAAATATAAAACTAAAACACGACGAGCAAGCAAGAATGATCGTCGCACAGAACGGATCGAAAATATATAGCACAGCAAACTCTTGCAAGACATGCAACGATGCATGCCACCCATGTTGAGCTACAAGCAAGCGTCACCATAACGCCGCCACACGCTTTCCACATCGGAGGCGAGCGACACGCATGAACGCCCAAATTTTAGCATGACACGTTGAGTGCCCACAACGCATGCCGCCCACGTTGAGCGTCGCGCATGAATGAATGTCGCGTTGAGTGACACGTTGTATGACACATAGAATGCCACGACGCATAGAGTACCATGTGAGCATGCACCAAGGCGTGTGACCAACATGGATACCGTGATGTACAGCGCACGTGACTGTAGCCAGCAGCAAAGCATGAGCATGCAGTAAAGCATGTGTGTGTGTGCTACACACACACACACACACACACACACACACTATACACACACACACACACGCACACACACACACACACACTAGACACACACGCGCACGCACACACACACACACACACACACACACACACACACAAATCACAGGTGCATAGAGGCCCAATTCCAGTCAGCAGATCGTATATACTTCTGAACGCCTTCTTTGAACTGCTGGAGGCGAGGTAGAGTAGGTGGTGCTGTGATGAGCTCTGGAGGAAGGTGATTCTACTCCTCAACGATGGCGGACGGAAATGATCGCTGTACGCTGTTGCGTGCGTGACGGTTGTGGGGCATGGCAAACTGCAATTCATGGCAAATCCGGCTCTGCTGACGTGTGCGAGGATGCCCTTGCAGCTCTGGTGCAACGGCAGGGATCATTGCTCGCAGTGGTGAGCTAGTTGGGAGGCAGTGGAGCTTATATAAGTATGTGTGAGCAGCAACAGCACGGCGGAGGGCCAGACTTGGGAGCCATGACTCACGAGAGATGATCTTGAGAGCTCGTAACTGTACTGCATCGAGCTGGCGAAGGGTTGTAGTGGCAGCCCCCATCCAGACCAACGGGCAGTATTCCAGAAGCAAACGGTGGCCACACGAAATATTGAAGCCCTTCTACTCTGTGTCTGAAATAAACTGTTTCGAAACGATCTCCGTCTTCTTTACTTGTCCTCAACTGAAATGAATGTTACCAAGAGTATATAACCCCCCAAGAGTGTGCAACTCTTGATACCCTTTCTATGGGGTACGCCGACGGCGAAAACTCACATCACGTTATGCAGTGTCTCAGTGGTACGTTTCCAGCCCGTTTTTAGCGAGCAGTGGAGTAATAAAAAAGCACTCTCTGACAGAAACTCACTACGCGTATGCAAATCCCCAGCATGACCATGGCAGATATTCGGATTTCGCACACGCTATCCTTCGTTTGCATGTAGTACGAAGATATCTGAGACACGTGATGTGAGTTTTCGCTGTCGGAGACCACATATGCAGAGGTGCACACTCTTGGGGGGTTATAATCTTGATGTTACTCTTCTCTTTGTTTGGCGCGTTTTTTTACACTTTGGTGTAAGCATGCATGCGTATGAGTACAGCACATGCACAGTTCATGTGGCACACTAGCACTTGTACAACTTTGAGGGCGTCAAGGGCCGCATCATCAATTCAACACCCGTGAACAGGAATGTTTTGGTGTGTGCAGAGATGTCCATAAATGATTCGAAAGAGTTCTTAGTATTGTATACTTGCGGCCATCATATGCCCCTCAACCCACAAGAGGAATATTGCAACATTACTTTGGCTCAAAAAGAATGCAAACTAATCAATCTCGCACCCAGCACTAAAGCATGTATTGGGGTTTTCCAGCTTTAGTTTGTAAACAGTTTGTCAATTGACTTATCACAATGTTGTGCGTGAGACTGCCTCACTTCGTGGTGGATTGTGCACTATACCCTATATAAATACTTTTCTGATGGATAACGCATTAGAATGTCTGGTCATGTGTGCTACCTTTACACAGGGCGGTAGTCTTCCTGTTTATTGCGCTGCCGCAAATGGGCATCTGGAAATCGTCAAGTATCTACTAGATCTCCAACCCGAAACGATCTCTGTGATTGGCTATGTAAGTTAAGCAATCTCCATCATTGACTCTCCTTGCTGTAGTCAGTTACTCCTACAGCACTCTTCTTGCCAATCAAGACTACTGTGCTAGCTATATGTCAATTGCTGGGGAGTATCAGGCCGAAACAGCAACCCCACCGATTGATATACTCCAAAAGTACCTGTGAATATTGGTGACTTTCCTGGCCGGCACTGATAGCTGCACAAAGCACCTCCATTGTGCATTTGGTTCACATAAACATTGGTTATGATTAAGAAAGGAAAAGGACAAAATGTTACGAGTTATGGCAAACTATCCACCAACGTAACCAGATATTATACAGTCAGCGAATGCGACAAAATGGCACAAAACTGACAAGGAGTACTGAGGCATTCGGCGACCTGACACCTAGCTTTTCCATTCTTCATCATAACTATATTGGCTCACCACACCAGTTCAAATAAACATTGGTCTCAATCATTTCTGATGTGACCTCATGGACACACTCATCATCAATTCAACACCCATCAACAGGAGTGTTTCTGTGTGAGCAGAGATGTCCACACATGATTCAAAAGAGTTCTTAGTATTGTATACTTGCGCCCATCATATGCCCCTCAACCCACGAGAGGAATATTACAATATTACTTTGGCTCAAAAAGAATGCAAACTAATCAATCTCGTACCCAGCACTAAAGCATGTATTGGGGTTTTCCAGCACTAGTTTGTAAACCGTTTGTCAATTGACTTATCACAATGTTGTGCGTGAGACTGCCTCACTTTGTAGTGGATTGTGCATTATACCCAATATAAGTACTTTTCTGATAGATAACGTATAGAAATGTCTGGTTATGTGTGTTACCTGTACACAGAACGGTAACCTTCCTGTTCATGGCGCTGCCTTTAAAGGGCATCTGGAACTTGTCAAGTATCTACTAGATCTCCAACCCGATACAATCTCTGCAAAGAACAATGTAAGTTGAGCAATGTCTATCGTTGATACCCCTTAAGCATTTTTTCCAGAACACGGTTTGAGCAATATATGCAACAAATAACATCTAGTCACTCGCGCCAGGCCAGAGCAACAGACATTAACCTTACGGATTCCACCATCGGCCAGTAGAGCAGACCATGGCACACCAATCTCTCTTGGGTTCATACAAGGGCCCTCCCTACATACTAAAGTGATGTAAATATATTTCCTGGTGTATGTGTGTTTGTGTGTGTGTGGGGGGGGGGGGGGCGTGCATGCGTGCGGGCGTGAGTGCGTGTGTGCATACAGCAAGGAAAACCAACTGTCTTAGTCGTTCTATGCTGATATACTTCGTGTTGTGCAGACCACGTGTGCATTGGTGGTCGATTCTCATAACTTCACAGGTTGTATTGATTACAGTCTATTCAGAAAAAGTTGAGCGCTGGCTCTGGAGAGCTCCCGTATTTGGCGATTTTGTGGTACACTGTGCAATGCCGCGATATTCGAAACTTGAAAAAGGGTCCAAAAAAGGTACCTCAACTGGGTTTCGAACCGGAAATGTACTGTTATGCAAGTGGAGTGAACGGCCTGCATTTTCATGGTTTTTCCCCAATTCAGTGCTTTGGGGGCAAAACCTGGCCGAAATCCTTTTCTTGTTATGGCTAACTCTTTGGAAAACTAGACTTCAAAAGCACAATTGGAAGAGAATTCCATGGGGGACTGCCTAAATAAATAAGACGGAAACTTAAAATTTGACCCATTTATGGCCAGAAGCTAGGATATCATTTATTTCTGAATTGACTGTAGGCAGATATCTGGCACTAGTCTTGATCTGTCTCATTCAGATCTTGTCCGCTATCGTTGCTATCGTTTGCGTGCTTCTTTTGTGACATGAGTACACATGGTACACGGTGTGTATGTGTTGGGGGAGGGGGAGGGGGAGGGGGAGGGGGTGTATGTGCATGTTTGTGTGTACATGTATATATTAGGGCTGAAACGATTATATCGGTTATCCGTATAATTGATCATAAAGCAGGATTCACAGAAGCATTTTGCGTTGTGACACACGATGCGACGGTTGCAAAACTGGGAAATCCCCAAATCGCAGCCAACTCGCAGCCCATTTAACTGCCGCAACTGGGCCATCGCAGAAGTTGAGCTCGGCTCAACTTTTGCGATGCGACAAACGATTTGGCGTACGATTTTGACCTTTTCTACAGCAAAGTTGTACAAAGATTCAAGAGTTGCCCGAAAATTTGTACAAGTTGTACCCAACCGCGTGAATACCATGGTGGCGTACCTGCCTGCATTGAACTTCGCGCCAAATCAGCAAGGTATCATCGCTTCGGGGACTTCGCCTGGGAATGGTATTTCGTGAGTTCGCATCGCACGTCTCCGTCGCAAATCGCGTCGCATCGCCAATCGCATAGCAAAAAAAGCTTCTTTGAATCCCCCTTACAACGAAGCGACTTCGATTATGCTGTCTATTTCGATAATGCGATTCCAAATAAATAAATACATAAAAGGAATAAAAAACGTGTACAAGAAGATGTCATGCACATGACTGTACTACGTAGTAGTAGGATCAGATAATGTTACGTACATAAGTCACCGGAGGATGTACCCAGTGTGCTGACGGTGCTCAACACCACGAAAACAGAGCGTTTGTTTGCCAGCTAGCTGGCCTCTGCGTACACCGCAGACACACCCACACACAACAGAAAGATACAGATCACAGTAGTAGTGTGGTATTTGTTCACTCACGATGATAGTTGTGTGTAGTAGTGTGGTTTTTGTTCACTCACGGTGGAAGATGGAAGAGCGTAGTGTATAGATGAGCATGAAGAAGGTTAAGGGCATGCCACCTCACGCATATACATGTACACGTATGTACCAGACCAACATGATGCAAGAAGTGAACCACTGTGGCGAATAGGGCCGCCGGATAATTTACCAGCCAGAAGCTGGCGGAAAAAACCTCAGGACCCCGGCGGAGGCACATCCCTGAGGAAAAACCGGTTAGAATAACCCCATAAGATAAACGAACCAAACGTAGCCTGCAGGACCTATCCCGAAGTGAGAATAAACGGGAGGGCGGGTGGTAAACTACAACGAAAAGAGAAAGACCACGATGAAGAGAAAAGTTTGAGAACACTGACAAAAAAAAACAGCTGACGCAATCCTGGTGCCGTAACTATGGTGAAAATGCTGGCAAAAAATACATTTTTCGTTTTATTCGCTACGCTCAGCCAACGAAAAATAACACTTTTTACCAGCTAGCTGGCCTCTGCGTACACCGCAGACACACCCACACTCGGTGTGAAACTTTGTCGAATGCTCCTGCTATGTCTATAGCCAGCACGCGGACTGCGCCACCACGGTTGGCTTCAGAGACCCAGGAGTGGTTGAGAGACGTGAGAAGGTCAGATGTGCTGAGCCCCTGCCGGAATCCGTACTGGTGGATGGACAGGGCCTTTTCATGCTCAAGATGATTGATTATGGCAGTGTTGACAATCTTCTCCATGACTTTGGAGACAACAGATAACAAGGACACAGGTCGGTAGTTCTTAGCAGCAGAATGAGATTGATTATTGTGTATCGGGACCACACGGGCTACTTTCCAGAGCGAGGGCTGGACATGGCACCGAAAACAGAGTGAGAACAGCTTGGAAATTGGTGCAGCCAAAACCTTTGAGCACAGCTTCAGAAATCTGGCAGGAATGCAATCGGGTCCGGTAGCCTTGGTTGGATCCAGCTGGCGGAGCTGGCGCTGGACTGTCGCTTCCCGAAATCGGACAGTTGTCAGGGCAGATGTACACCTAGGACGAAGGTCAGGAAGGTCGGAGTGCTGTAGATCTTGATCACACAGACTGCATTTGCTCGCAAAGAATTCTCCAAAGCAAGTAGCCTTTTCCTGGTTGGTGACATATTCTCTGCCCTGGGTATTGCGTAGGACAGGGATAGACGAGCTGCGGCCAGAGCCTGGAGCTTGCTTCAGGAGTGACCACCATTGCTTGTTTCGCATTGATCCATGTTTGAGCCGATCTCGGATGTGGGCAGATTCTGCCACACGCTTTCCACATTGGAGGCGAGCGACACGCATGAACGCCCAAACTTTAGCATGACACGTTGAGTGCCCACAACGCATGCCGCCCACGTTGAGCGTCGCGCATGAATGAATGTCGCGTTGAGTGACACGTTGTATGACACATAGAATGCCACGACGCATAGAGTACCATGTGAGCATGCACCAAGGCGTGTGACCGACATGGATACCGTGATGTACAGCGCACGTGACTGTAGCCAGCAGCAAAGCATGAGCATGCAGTAAAGCACCAGCAATCATAGCAGCATAGGTTGAGTGGTAGCACGAAGCAGCCGCGTGCACCCATTAATCTGCATTATTACTATAATGCTACATTAACTACAACACACAGCAGCTTGCGGTTAGGAGGGTGCTGGCCAGCGAAGTGAGAGGCTACAGAGAGAGCAGGATCTTGGCGGAGCCAAGAGGATAGTCACGTCCGAGGGACGAAGAACGAGAGCCCTGAGTAGCCGGAAATGAGCATGGCCCATTGTGGCCAGCAAGCCTCGTACCGAAGCAGCCGTGAGCAGGGTTAAAGTCATAGACACTGCCGGAGCAGGATCTTGGCGGAGCCAAGAGAGAGGTCAGAGAGAGGTCACTGCCGGAGCAGGATCTTGGTGGAGCCAAGACAGGGATCACTGCCGGAGCAGGATCTTGGTGGGGTAACCATCACCTACAGTGGGCTACGGTGGGCCATCGGGTAGTTGAGATGGTGGTGGAGCTGAACGTGTCCGTCTTGGAATTGCCGGTGGCACATGCACGTTGCCCCGCTGTAGCCACTGTCACATTAGCAGCCTTGCTAGCGTTCGGCCTTCGACTGCTTAAGTGTGGCAATGATTCATGTCTCGTTGATATGGAGACGAGGCAAGGAAATAGAAAGGTAGATAGACACAGAAACAGACAGGCAGGCAGACAAACACAAACAGACAGATGATTCAGGGTCAGCCGGGTAGACACTGCCGAAGCAGAATGTTGGCGGAGCCAAGTATCTACAAGAGTCTGCGTCCGAGGGACGGCGACCGAGGGCCCTGAGTAAAGAGAGGGGTCACTGCCGGAGCAGGATCTTGGCAGGGCCAAGAGAGAGGTCAGACAAGAGATATACGTAGACACTGCCGGAGCAGAATGTTGGCGGAGCCAAGTATCTACGAGAGAGGATTCAGGGTCGGCCGGGTAGACACTGCCGAAGCAGAATGTTGGCGGAGCCAAGTATCTACAAGAGTCTGCGTCCGAGGGACGGCGACCGAGGGCCCTGAGTAAAAAGAGGGGTCACTGCCGGAGCAAGATCTTGGCAGGGCCAAGAGAGAGAGGTCAGAGAAGGGTCACTGCCGGAGCAGGATCTTGGCGAAGCCAAGACAGGGGTCACTGCCGGAGCAGGATCTTGACAGGGCCAAGAGAGAGATCAGAGAGGGGTAACTGCCGGAGCAGGATCTTGGCAGAGCCAAGGGAGGAGTCAGAGAGGGGGCACTGCAGAGAGAGATCTTGGCCGAGCCAAGAGAGGGACGAGGACAAAAAGCCCCCCTGGGTAGCTAGGCAATAAATGTGTGTGCATTGAGACAGCATGTGGTAAAGAGGATACTGACAAGAGTTCAAGCAACACGGATGAGAACCAGCAAGACAGTTACCTTGATGATCTCCTTGGCGGTGTCCCTCATTCCACGCCAGATAAATGCTCGTGCAGCAAAGGGAGCTTGCCCAAATAGAAGGACGAACTTTGCTGCGGTGATTGGCTAGACCATGGTGTCAGGTCGCTCCGCAGCTGTGGGAGCAAAGGTTCTGGAGTCATCCAACTTGGTCCAGGCAGAGCATTGATGGCATTGAAGTTGACTGGCAGGTGTGATGCTCGAAACAGTAAATGGTACTGGACACAAATCAAGTAGAGGGTGCAGATGAGTGCCATGACCACAGAAGAACTGAAC